TAAATAAATACATTACATTCATTGATTTATTCATTTCTTTATTATTCATATTATCAATTTATTGTTATATTTATTAATTGAATATTATTCATTTGTTATATTTCATTTCTATGATATTTTATTTAATCATTTTCATCAAATAAATAATAAATAATAATTTATTGAGGTATAAATTATTTGTTATTAATAATTTATATTAAAAAATAAAAAGAAGAAAAATCGAATGACGTTTATCTTAAAAATAAATTTAAGTTCAAACTAAAAATAAAAAAAGAACTAATAAATAATCAAATAATAAAGAAAGAATGCAATTAGGATATAATGAAATAATGATTGTATCAAAGTATTTTGAAGATATTAATGATTTTATTAATTTAGAAATGGGAGTTAAAAGATTTGAAGGAAATATGGAACGATTTCATTTTAATCCAATTCCATTGAATCAATATTCAATAGAATTCTTTCCTAATATTGAAACATTTCATATTTATAATGAAGAAGATGAGGTATTTGAAGGTGGAAGAATATTTAAATATGTAATATGGTATAAAGTGAGTTATTCAAGATATTTAGAAGAGAAAGAAAAAGGAAATGTTTGTAAAAATATCGAATATACAGAAGAAGATAGAAATACATATGGAAATACAATACCAATAGAAGTTAATTCACTTGGAGATCTTTGTTTTTATGGATGTAAATCATTACAATCAATTAATATTCCAACAAGTGTAAGTAAAATAGGAAATAGATGTTTTAAATATTGTTCAACATTAACATCAATTAACATTCCAACAAGTATTAGTAAAATAGAAGATTATTGTTTTGAATATTGTAAATCATTAACATCAATTAAAATACCAACAAGTGTTGGTAAAATAGGAAATAAATGTTTTAGTTTTTGTACATCATTAACCTCAATTAATATACAATCATCAATTACATCATTTGGAAAGGGATGCTTTTATCGTTGTGGATGTGAAGAAGAATTAAAGAAGAATAAACAAATACCAAAATATTGCTTTGAAAAATAATAAAGAAGAAATAAAGAAAGAAGATAATTGAATTGTTAAAGACCAAAAATAAATTTCATTTTATAATTTTAATGATAAGAAATACATCATAACCAATTTAATTGATAATAAAATAAAGAATGAAATATCAAATGAATGAAATGAAATAAAATCATTCATCATTTATTTATTTATTATTATGTTATGTTTATTTATTTTTATTTTATTTCATATTATTTGATTGTTTCAATGTGTTGAATTGATATTTCATCTCTTATTAAATGATATATCATTCATTATATTTGTTTTGTAATAATTTTATTCTTTATTTTTATTCTTTTGTTTTTTATTTCTTCTTTCTTATTTATTTTAAACATCATTTCATTTCATACTTTTATTTTCTCTTTATATTGTTATTAACATATTAATTCATATAACATTTGTTATTATTTCATTCAAATATAAAATAAATCATAAGATTAATGAAAGAGAGATGATGAATAATAATGAAAAATCAATATAAATTTAATTATATTCTTTATTTTATTTTCATAATAATAAATAACAATATTAATCAAATAATAATGGTAACAATAAATATGAAATAAAACAATGATAATTGATAAAATAAAAAGAATAATTTTATTATATTTTCATTTATTTTATTATTCATTTAAATATATGTTATTTCATTATTTATTTCATTTCTTATTATTTTCATTTATTTACAATATGTATTTTGTATCAATTTGATATAATAATGATGATTTATATTTATTTATCATATTTTATTCAACATAAAAACAAAATATTAAATAACAATAAAATAAAATCATAAATAATACACATTGAAATTATATAATAAATGATGATATTAATAATCATTTAATAGAATAAATAAAATGAAAA